TACAGCTCCGCGTGATACCCCAAAAAAAGCTTTTTAGAGAGAAGCGATGATACAACGCTTCCGAGTCACTTTCGTAAGGTACAATATATATATATTGTACCTTACGAAAGTGACTCGGAAGCGTTGTATCATCGCTTCTCTCTAAAAAGCTTTTTTTGGGGTATCACGCGGAGCTGTATACCTATGGGTTGGCCCGCGAAGCTCAACTTTGACGTGCAGCGCATCGATTGCCCAATCTCGTCCTAACCAAAGTGCATCTCGACACTGTTATCATTTGTTGTTATATGTCACTGCTAATACATGTTGAAAATTAATGGGGATATACAAGTGAATCAGTAGTTCGGTTAACAAAACAAAAAACAAAAATTGACTTGTAATAATTGTCAGTGAATCCACATTTTATGTATATACATGCACACGTGACAGAGTGGATGGGCGCGTGTGTCGAAATTAAAGGCTTACTTGCACCGTGGGTGGGAGAGTAAAAAAAGGTATTTTACGTGCCGCACATAAGAAGATAAAATAAAATGTGTGCGTGTATCGAAATATCGATAAAGCGATGCGATGTTGTCATTGCACTTGATTAAAATTTTGAAACATTAGGTGTACAGGTGTACCTACAACATACTCGTGTCTGTTCTTCTTTGCAATACATACACACAATACATGAGTGTAAATATAGGTAAAAAAGTTGATTCAAAAGTGTCTAATTGAAGGCGTTAGTCATGACTACACGGACAACTATAAACTTCTTTTGCCACGAGCAATCATCACTTGTACTATACAGTAAAAGAAAAGAAAAAGAAAAAATCAGTCCGCGCGTGCGTAATCGTACCATATTTGGTCCTCGATCGGGACGACAAAAGCGCTTCCAGCTGAAAATCTTTCACGGGACAACATTAGCGCGCGCGGAAATCATCTATATCTGCACAAAGTACATGTGCAGAGGAACATACACGTACATATGCATGTATATTTGTATGCATACTGTATCGTGGCGGGGTGGGGATGTACACCAACCATCCAACCGCGCATGCATCGCTGCTGCAGTGCTGGCGAATCGCGTTGCGAATATAATGCGTCTATATTGCAAAGAGTAGGAGGTACAACCTCCTCCGCCCCTTTTCGCGTGCACCGTCGCAATGGCCGGTCCGTCGGCGAACCCTCCCATCGCGCGAATCGTCAACTATATATTTATATATATATATGCACCGTGGTCCTTTTTTCTTCCTTTCTTTTTCATTGTTTATCCTTCATTGTCGCTGCGTTGTTTACTATGGCTCCGCTGATGTGTACAATTTTTTTTTTTTTTTTTTTCACGAATCGTCAATCATTTAATAAAATTTCAGGGCTTGGATTTGGGAGAAATAAAAGTTTACACTAATATACGTATACACATACGGTGCAAAGCCAATGAAACCTAACGCGATAGGGCCCTCGGAGTGTTAGTACGGGATGTAATGTGTGCGTGGACGCGACGATGAGCTCGTTGAGCCGTGAAGCCCGAAAGGAGGAATCCCCAAAAAAACAAAGAGCACCGCCGTCTCTCTCGGAGCTTAGGCTCAGCTTTGTGGGTGAGTTCCCTCCTCCCCCCCCCCTAACCACGGTTTCGCAGCGTGTACAGTTAGTTAGGGAACAGCCGCAGAGTCGATGGACTTTTGCCGAAAACTTCCACCCCGACTGAGTCCTCGCGCACCCCCTCATTGGCCGGGTCCAGTGAAAAATTTTCGTGCTCTAGCGTGGAGAGGATTCTTTTTTTTTTTTTTTTTTTTTTTTTTTTTTTTTTTTTTTTTTTTTTTTTTTTTTTTTT